GTACTTCACTCCCATAAAAGCAGAGGGAGGAGGACGACCAAAGGGTCCACCTCGGTAGGTGTACTTCTGGCTCTCAAGTACAGACGCAAGGTTTTTAAACATGCCGTTCACACCTGTCTGATGGAGGTGTGGCCGTTGTGGTGGTGGTGAACAGGATGGAGTTTCATCTTCATCCTGATCTGCTTCTTCTTCATCATCCTCACACTCACTTTTCTCTACCTCTGGAAGGCCATACAGCTTGGCCAGGTCACTATGGCGATAATTGGTTCCTGTTGTGGCAAGATTGCTTTCTTGAGACTGCATGCTAATGGAATTTGCAGGCTTGGGAATGACCTTAAGAACCTCCTCTTCTTCCTCAAGTGAAGAAGTACGACTACAAGGAGATGCCAGTGAACCTTGCCGACTTAACACAGGTGGGCTTGCATGGCCATTTGGCTGATAACCCTCAGTTGGAGATTGCTTTAGGGCAGGCATGAGGTCTGGTGCACACAAATAACTCTTAATAGGTGCCACATTTGTAGAAAACAGAGGTTTCAGTACTGCCTGTTCTCCACTCTGGCCAGAATACAACTCCTCCTCTTTCCTGATGGACTCATCCAGCATCTTCATAATATTAGCCAATCCATCAGGCAAGAGCTCAGAAGTTTCCTCCTCAAATTGGGCACCATCAGAGTCACCACTGCAACTTCTAGAACTGCTACCCAAACTACCAAGTCCTGTACTGGGCATATGTTTTTGAAGGCTGCTTGTAGTCGTGCTGATAGGTGTGCATGAAGAGCGAACATCCTTGGGGAAAGCCTGGTAAAGTTTGGGTGGCTCTCGCAGGGGTGGAGGGTTGGGAATTGCATTTATAATCTCAGCATTATGAGAGGTTTTCAACATTTTGACATCTTTGGATGGGTCAGGTTTCAATTGCATGGTGTGGCTGTCGGAGGGGCTGATGAGACCTGACTCTGAGGGGTATGTGGGATTCCCAGTGGAATTCTGAAACGGTGCGCCACTCTTCCATTTCTCTCTTTGCCTTTGCTTCTCACGGGCATATTCTGTCTGGGGGGTGAGGGGAGGTGGCTGTGACCGTTCCATATCGTTTGCTGCAGTTCCAGAAAAACGTGGGGGCACTCCTCCCCGACTCAACCAGGGATAAGGTGGTGAATTCTGGCTAGGAGGTGAGATGGAGGAGAGTGCATTGGCTGGAGACAAACAAGGAGGTGGAGACTCAGCTGCACTACCTGACAGCAAACGTTCCAGACTCTTGATGGCAGACTCACCGTGTGGCTTTGTCTCCATTTCTTGTCTTTCTACATTGCGTTTTCTCTCTTCATTCTGGTCTCTCCTTCTCTCTTCTGCTTGCATGTGGCCTTGCAGCTCTGCATCAAGTTTATTCAAAGCATCAACAATGGACTGAGAGCTTGGGGCAGCAGGCTGCAAACAGGAGCTTGGGTAGACTGGGGCTGGAACAGTAGTAGTTGCCTGAGAAATTGAGGAGGAAGCTTGGATGGGCGCTGAGTTGTATGAATTACTAGAAATTGGCTTGAGGGCTGAGCTGACCTTTATGTGTTCTGGAGGTTGAGGGCAATGTAAAGGTGAACTGACTCGAGGGAGAGTGTTGAAGAAGTGTTGAGAAGTCTTGCTGGTGATGACACTCTCCCCTGATCTCTGAAGACCTGAGTTTAGGGTGGAGGGAGAAGAGGACACAGGGGTGTAGTTAGGTCTGCCTTGTCCTGTGTGGGGTAGAGTGGATTGAATCCGAGATTGTACCCCTCTATGTGGGTTTGGAAGGGTTTCAACAACAGAGTGGACACCCGGATACCCTGGATGTGTTACATTTTGACCAATCATGGATACATGGTTTGGGTTTGAGATTAACACTGAAGAATCCATTGCTCTCCAGCTGCTCAGGGTACTGGGAATGGAGGAGGCGGTAGAGGGTGCTGAGCTTGTGGCAGGGACGCTTCCAAAATTGGTGTAAAGTTCCAGAGAGCAAGGTGGACGAGGAGTTTCTAGGTTTGGGGTAATGACAGGTTTTCGAGAAGGGGCCTGAGGAGGGCTCATACGCCGGGTGGTCCCTGGACCCCGGTCGCCCCCAGCAAGCCTATTCGGTGCCTGAGAAAGGCGTTTGGCAACCTGAGAATCCCCTCTTGCTGAAAAGTCACGTGATTCCTAAAGGGAAATTAATATTACAGTCAACAAATCATAGGACACAAAATTGTAACTATTGATAACATTTATAGTTTACAGCACATGTTGTGTAGCATACTATTTACTAATATTAAACAGCCAGCAATTTTAAGTCTTGAGCAGGTAGATCTGTTTGAGCATCAGAGAGGTTGAGTGTGTTACCTGGTTCCTCCAGGGTTTATGGGGGTTGTGCTGAGGTACTGTGTCCTGGGCCTGGTTGCTGGCTGGTGGGCTGGAATGGACCAGCCCTGGGTGAGGCTGGAATTGGGGGTGACTGTAAGGCACAGAGGTGTAGTTTGCTGGTGAGGGTGCAGGGCGCTCCCTATCTGCCCGTGGTGATAATGAGGATGTAGGTGGTGGTGGAGCCTGTTTATTCAAAGAACTCGATGCAGAATCATGTCCTCTTTGTGAATTAGTACCACATGGTTCCACTTGGGTCTGGGCTGAAGGTCTGATGTTGGGGTAGGAGTATGTAGAATGGTGGATGTGAGGGTTCTGTGAAGGTCCCAGAGACTGTGGTGACTGAGCAGTCTTGTGGGACTGTGGTGGAGGACCCCTGCTTTCTTCGTAGCCTCTTGTGCTGTGAATGGTGGGTGAAGACGTGGTTGATGGATTCAAGGGAGGCAGTTTATAGGGGAAGCTTCCAATTCCTGACTTAGCTGAATCCTGTAAATAGAGAATAGGAATTG